GTCACATACACGCACACACCACACACACACACACACCACACACACACACACACACACACACACACACCACACGGCTACGCAAAACCAGGCAGGCACTTTTTAAAACCGCTTTTGAGTTGAGTTTATATTTTGTGGTTAAAAAACCAAAGCGATACAATCAGCATCATCACCATATTCATCATCATTATCACAATCATCGTTGTCGTCATCATTATCACCACAATCATCACCATCATCACCACAATCATCATCAAATCACCACAATCATCGTAGTCGTCGTCGTCATTATTATCACTACAATCATCACCATTATCACCACAATCTTCATCATCATCATCACAATCTTCACCATCATAATTATCACCATCAGTATTGGAGTCTATGGACACGGTGCATCCGCACCCGTGGTCTAAACACGAGACACTCAGCGACCTCGAGCCGCTCTTCAAAGAGATTGGCCTGATGAAGTATATCGGAGTATTTAAACATCAGGAGGTTGGTTGGTTGGTCGGTTGGTTGGTTGGTTGGCTGGTTGTTGATTGAATGGCTGGTTAGTTGGTTTGTTGGCTAGTTATCTGGTTGATTTAATTAAAAGGTTAATTAATTAATTAGTTAAAAATAAATGAATTTGTGTGTTTGTTTATTTGTTTATTCAATCATTCGTTCATCCGTCTGTCCATCTTTCCATTCATTCATTTATTGATTTATTTATTTATTTCTTGACCTAATTAACAGATAGACATGGCTACCTTTTTGACCTTGACTGACGGTGACCTTAAAGATTTGGGCATCACGACCTTCGGAGCCAGGAGAAAGATGCTTCTCGCCATTACCAGTTTTAATTTTAAATTTTTAAAATTTGCGCCTAATCTATAAATCTCAATCTAAAATATTTCCTAAGTACTTATCAGATGTATTAATTGAACCTAAACGCCCCGGTTTACGATCGTCTTCTTGTTCTCACTTCTTCTTAACTCGTGTAAAACACTTTTGCTAAATCTGCTTTTGCTTTTTTTGACCCTTTTCTCTAGAATTCTCTACCTACTTCTCTGACTACTTCTCCATCACTTGCGAAGTTCAGAGCGGATCTCAAGACCCATCTGTTTTCAAAATTCATTGAGGAGCGCTGTTGAACATCGCGGAAATAGCGCTTTATAAACTAATTGATTGATTGATTGATTGAATTCTGTAATTAATTACTTATTTATTCATACATTCATTCATTCGTTTATTCACCTCTCTTCCATTCATCCATCTATTCATTCGTATAATCATTTATTCATTCATTCATTTTCTCATTCCTTCATTCACTCATCCAGATCTGAACGAGAAGCAATCGAAGATACCCCCACCCCCGGGTCTATCTCACCCATTTCGCGATCCCTCCCTCTTAAAGAGGAGAGATATAATCAGCCACAGTATCAGATGGTGACGAAGACGACGACGAAGATAATGATGATGATGATGATGATGGGGCCATGATGACGATGATGACGATGAATATAATTACGCAGATAAGGATGACGATACGATGATGAAATTTCATAATGATGTTGATAAGTGAGATAAGGTAGACCATTATGACTTTAATAATAATAATAATATAATAATAATATTAATAATATCAATAATAATAATATAATAATAATAATAATAAATTCGACATCATTAACAGATTAATAATGTTAAAATACGTGTGTGTATATGTTTGTACATGTGTGTATGTGTATATGTGTACGTGTGTGTGTCTATGTTTGTACATGTATGTATGTCTTTATGTCTGTATGTATTTAAAAAATAGTTTTTATGTATGTATACATAGCAATTTGTATGTTATGTATGATTTTTTGTGTGAGAGAGAGAGAAAGAGAGAGAAAAAGAGAAAGAGGAGAGAGAGAGAGAGAAAGAAAGTGAGAGAGAAAAATTATGCAAATGCAATTGTATGATATGCAACAAAAAACCAAACAATGATTTCAACGGACAGATGTTACGACATTTTGCTTTTTTCGTTTTTTCCCACACACACACACACACACACACACACACACACACACACACACACACACCACACACACCACACACACACACACAGACACTCACACACACAATTATTGTTTTTTTTAATTAAAAAATGTTAACGCACAATGTTAAATAGAAATACTCGCATATGCCCATGTCATATTCCGCCCGTTATAATTCAATTCGTCTAACTTTCACAATTCCAAATATCATTGGTCATTTCGAAATGTGTGTGTTTGTGTGCGTACGTGTGTTTGTGTGTGTGTATGTGTGTGTGTCTACGTGTGTGTGTCTACTTATGTGTGTGTGTGTGTGCGTATGCGTATGTGCTTTTCTTAAAGTCTTAATAAGTTATTTGGTAAATAAAAAAATATATATATAGCTCTAAATCAAAGATGTATTTCGTATAATATTTATATATATACTGAGTTTCTTATAAAGTATATATATATATAAATATATATTTATTTCTTTATTTATCTGAATGGATGGATGGATAAAATGATGGATAAAAGAATGAACGAACGAAAGAATAAACTATTTTAAGATCATCCAGCCTAAATAACGAGCCTTATAATAGTTTTAATTTTATTATGAATTGTTTGCGTAGAAGTTATGTATACAAATGTGTGTGTGTTTATGTATGTTTGTGTTTGTGTGTGTATGAGTTTGTGTGTGTATGAGTTTGTGTGTGTATGTGTGTGTGCGTGCGTGTGTTTATTAATTTAATATTTACGCAGCATATAATTAATTGTTAAATATTAATAAGGAGTAATTAAATTATCCAAAACGCCTTCGTAGTACAACCCATGTTTTGGGGCTAAGCGCAAATCTTAATTTTAATTATAACTTAATAATATTTATTATTATTATATTATTATTATTATTATTATTATTGCTGTTTTCTATTACATTTTTTTTATTTCTATTTTTAATTATTTCAACTTGGCCATTTCACTGCATTATTTCGTGTAATAATTTCAAATAAACACTTTTTAATGTTGATAAAATTTTATATTATGAATATATATAGTATATATATATATATATATATATATATTCATAATAAAAGATTTTATATATACATATATACACATTTATTTAAACACACGTACACACGCACACGCACACACACACATATTAATATATATAATACTATATTCGACCTTGAACTTTCGTTATTATGGCATAAGCCCGTTACCTTACCTAACTTTATACATGCGTACGTGAATTTATTTTATTGAAGTTTATACGATTTTATATGTAGAAGAAGATCGTAAATTGATCCAGTTTGTCGGGTTTTTTTTATCTTTAAAGATAGCAACGTATTCAGTGGGGGCCGAAATTAGGATTAGTGTTGTTATTGAGTCAGTAAAATTCAGTTTTTATACAGGAATATATTCACCATTATGAACTAGACACCATAATTCGATTATTTTTTTGAATGTGGCGTTGATACAGTGAGTAAAGCTGGTAGCTTTTTTAAACCAGATTCATGCAGTACCTACTCAATCTTCTGAGTATGAAATTGTATAATTTGGTATTAGGAGTTCCCACCTTTTTGATATATATCATAGTATGTATTTTGAATCGACCAAAGTGTTATCAGTGTGTCTGACCTAACAATTATGACGGAACATGCACTATAGTTCGATTTTTTTTAATGTGGCCCTGGTACGTTGAATCAAGTTGGTTGTATATTGCTAGATCTACGATACGATAAGATATGATACGATACGATACTTTTATTTGCTTCTAAAAAATTAACAAAAAAAGAATAGAAGACAGGATGACTATGATCAAGTTATCATGTAACTCATCTAGCATAGCCAACTTACAAATAGTATCAAACAAATAAATAAAAAGCAAGTCTGATATAATACAAAGTGATCAAATTAAAAAAAAATGAAATTATTTCTGTAATCTAAATCACTACAAAAAAACTCGTAATTATGACCAGTTTTTACAATAATTAAAAAAATACAAAAGAACGTTGGAGGTGATCTAAGGAGCCGGTGCGGGCCGTGGTTCGATAACTTACTCGTGACCACAAAATGTAAAAGTTTAAGAATTTTAACATTAAGTTTAACATTTTGGTGAGTTAAAACTTTACTTGACCTTAAAAAGGTCAACTGTCCTATCATACAAAAACACTTTAAACGTTGGAAAAAAAATTTGCATCGGCCGGGAATCGAACCCGGGCCGCCCGCGTGGCAGGCGAGCATTCTACCACTGAACCACCGATGCCCACACAAACGATGGATTTAACGTGTTTAATCTTACATTTTTGGATAAACGTCAACCGGACTGTAGATTTGGTAGATAGGTTCAACTCAATTTTAAGCGTGAAAAGCGCTAAGAGTTATTTTTAAAAAAATATTTCGACAGTGCATCATTCCTGCTTTGCTAGCTAGTATAAAGAAAATGGACAGAGAATAGAAATATACATAAATAAAAGTACGTAACATAACATATATGAGTAAAACATAGTTGTGTATTAATAAATAAAAATTTGCAAATTCACAAGTTTATAAAACGCACATTACAAAAAAAATTGAAGAGAACAAGTGCACTCGGACAATGGAAATTTAAAAATTCGAACTGGAGTCAGTGTGGGATTATTTGGCTTAGCGGAGCAACTTAATATTTTTATTCTTCTTCATCACTATACATAAAATTGTATAGAAGTGTAGTGAGGCTGGGCATTTAAGTATTGTTGCGCTAGTTATATTAAAGAACAATAATAGTGAGTGAACCCTGAATTTTAAAATTAAATCACTTTCTGGGATAGTTTTTCGCTTTTCGATTAAAATTTTATTTGGACAAATTTTGAAAATTTTGTCTCTTAAAAAGTCGAAAGTCAATAGTTTCGATTTTTCTCTCACCGGTAAAAACTTTTATTTTTTATAAAACGATTTTTTTGATTCTTGTTCCAAAATTTAAAATGGCGTCGCCTGGGTGCCTCTAAAATTAGGGAAATGGCTTTTTAAATTATTTTAATTTATTTGACCTCATTTACTTATTCAGATTGATTTGGACGAATCAAGAACCATGAATAGTTAGTTTATTCAATTTCCAATACTTTTCTTGGTTACTTTTTAATTTCATCAAGCCTCTCAGTTCCAGTTTAACTAAAATAAAAGTCAATTTAAGAAATTTATTGGTTAATTATATACTTTTTGGCTTATATGATTGGTGTATGTATGTTTCAGGTTTATCTAGTTTTTTTTAGAATTATTAATCTTTAATTCTAAAGGAACATTTTAAAATTAAAAATGCTTATTATCCTAATTTTATGTTGTTTTCTTTAGCTTTTCTTGATTAAATTATATTTTTCTCTTCCATTTGGCTAACATCAAATGGCGCTGAACTTATAAATAAGAGATTGAGACTCAGCTCAACTCAGTCGCCAAACCTGGGTTAGTTAAGCTATCATGTGTAAATTTATAAGCCATTCTCATCTCATTTTAAAGAGGGAGAGACACATAAATGCAGGGAATAGGGCATGCTATCAATAATTTCATATGATAATATAATATTTTTTCTTTCAAATGATTTTGCAGTCCCACCATCACCAGGCCACCAGAATTTTATAAACCTGGGAGAAATGCCCCCAGCCATGGATAGCACTCAGCAGACATTGTTGTGGCAGCAAAACCAATATATGGCTGACTCTGGCATTCACTCAGCTGCAGGTACTCAGACCCCATCTCTCAGCAGTAAGTTAGGGATCGACGGAGCGACTATTGGTGATAACATGTCTTCTCAGCAGTCGCAGCTATACACATTCGATGATTTCAGTGTTCCTCCTGTTTATGGACAGCCTCAGGTTGATGGTAAGTTTTTCAGATTAATTTTTGTAATTATCTTACTCATTTTTTCAGCTATTAAACAGTTTTATAAATTTGATTCTCAAAAATTTGAATCTTTCTTTTTTTTAGAAATCCAAGGCATCCAGTGCGGCATGCCTCTGTCGCAGGCCAACCCACCTCCGGGTTATTTTGATCAGATGGGTGCAGAGGGAATCTGCCCACCTAGCAACATGATGCACCCGGACCCCACCATGGATGGCGAATGGCTTTCTGAGCCATCTCAGATGTTGAGAGAGGCTGTTGCCAATCTGGTCAACTATCAAGTTTGTTTTCTTGCTTACTTTTAAAATTTGTGATTGCTGGAGTATAAGCTGGTGTAGTTCAATAGTTCTGCATGAATGAAATATTTGCTGTATTTCCGATTTGTACTGAGACTTTTGTAAGCTGGCTGCTTTCACTTTGTTCTGAATGATGCTCACGCACCAATGATCACTCCGTGCTGAGTTTTATAACGAGATTGTAACATTTAATGATCAGTTTTGCTCTGAAATTGTTCACACCTAATGTTAAAATATCTTAGATTTTCACTCTTCTGCGTCATTAAATTTTAAGATAGAGGCTATGGATAAGTACTTATAATGCCCTTTGATGCTGTTGCACAGGACGTCTCCGACATGGCACAGACTGCCATCCCTGAACTTGCGAATCTCCTGAATGGCGAGGATCATGTGGTTGTCGGCCAGGCAGCCATGATGGTGCATCAGCTGTCAAAGAAGGAAGCCAGTAGACATGCCATAATCAACTCACCACTGATGGTCAAATCCCTAATTAATGGCATAAACACGACGGCCGATACTGAGACAATGAGGTACCTCGCTGGCACACTTCATAATCTTTCACACCATAGACAGGGACTCCTGGCTATTTTTCAGTCTGGAGGAATTCCTTCTCTTGTCAAGTTACTCAGGTTAGTGTGTTTAACATTCCAGCTTTTTTTTTCCAGATATTTAATTTGCAAATAAATGTTCTAAATCCACTCAAGCATTGTGAAAGGTGTGTAATGTTGTAATGTAATTGTAATTTTGTGTTGTGTTTGTGTTGTGGTTTACTTGTGGTTAATTCATTTGAGTGTTATTAAAAATTATGTGGACGATAGCGCGAGAAGTTATGAGAAATTGGTTTCAATGTATAAGCTTGGGAAAAATATTTATGGAGGGTCTTAACAGAGTTTTAAACCAGATTATTTGAAGATAATAAGATGATATGTATTTCCGACTGACAGCTCTAATGTAGAGTCGGTACTTTTCTACGCGATAACCACCCTGCACAACCTGCTGCTGCATCAGGAGGGATCCAAGATGGCGGTTCGTATGGCCGGGGGCCTCCAGAAGATGATTGCCCTACTCCAGAGTACCAACATCAAATTCCTGGCCATCACTACTGACTGCTTGCAACTGCTTGCTTACGGAAATCAAGAAAGCAAAGTAAGTCTTCTTCCAGATTAATCGATAGTTGAAATCATTTGTTATAGCTAATAAATATTGATTTATTGATTGAATAAATAGTTATAATTTGTGATTATTGTAAGACCATAATTGTAATCTCCAATGTTGATTGACATTTACAGTTAATCATCTTGTCGAGTAATGGTCCGACAGAGTTAGTGAAGATCATGCACTCATACTCTTACGAGAAACTTCTCTGGACCACATCACGAGTTCTTAAAGTTCTGTCAGTCTGCCCACAGAACAAACCTGCTATCATTGCTGCTGGTATGTGTTTGTGCGTGTTGTGTGTGTGTCTGTATATATATATATATATATATATATGTGTGTGTGTGTGTGTGTGTGTGTGTGTGTGTTTCTATGTTTAAATATGCCACCATCATAACCAATGAAATAATCTTCAGGTGGTATGTCAGCCTTGGCCATGCATTTGTGTCATCCTAGTCAGAGGTTGGTTCAAAATTGCCTGTGGACACTCAGGAATCTGTCAGATACTGCTACTCATGCTGTATGTTTTGTATTATATTGTTTGTGTTGGTTTGTCTGTTCACTTGTTTTTTGGTTTGTATATTTTGGTTGGTATAAATGTTTTGTATTTTGTATGCTTTTTTTAATGCCACTTTGTCAAATTTTTATGTACGTTTGATTGTTTGAGTTGGTTTTATTTTGTTTGTTAACTTGCTTATTAGTTTCATTTCTTGAATGCCATAGTACAGCAACTATTAAAACAACTAGAGATGATGTTTGCTAGAAATATATCCATCCCATCAATGTACCATCTCATTCACACCCTGCCTATAGTTTTTAATGTGTTTGTGTGGTTGGCTGTACTATATTTACACTCTTGTATAATACAACAGGTTCTGTTCTGTTTATGAAATATGTTTTAATATAGATGAGAAATAATTGTGGATTGGAAATTTATAAAGCTGTTTTGTACAATTGTAGTAGATATCTTTAATGATCGTGTGTGTCGGTGTGTGTGTGTGTGTGTGTGGTATATTTTATTATAAAAGTTATAAAAGTGAAATTTTTTTTTTTTTTAATGAACACAGTTCAGTAATTCTTCTTGCTGATCCAAGATACATTTTATGGCTTTTAACATTCATTTTTACACATCATAATCATTGTTATTGTACATACCTATACAAATTTACATACATTCACAGGCATACATTCACCATATGTACATACATAATATACATTCATACAACATGCACACATACACATGCATACAAACATGCCTACGCACATTAAATTTGCAAATGCGTGTATGTATGTATTCTTGTATGTATGTTTGTATGGGCTATGAAGTTAATTATTTAGTGTATGTCTTTTTGATGGTGCTAATGCTTGCCTGATTTATATTACACACATTATCTTTCTACCCATTTTAGATATGGCATATTCCATTTCTACTGTTTTATTGTTGTTGTTGATGTTGTTGTTGATGTTGTTGTTTCTATTGTTGTTATTGCTATCATCATCATCAGCTCTGTGTTATTTTTTTTATTGTTCACTCCAGAAAATTTTTTTAAATGTACAATTTAAGCACAGTTGTTTTTATTATAATTAGGCTTGCTTCAGTTGTGTATTTCTATGAATGAATTAATCAAAAGAAGGAATGAATGAGTGCGTTGATGAAACAGTGAAAGAAAGAAAGAATGGATGGATGGATAGATGGATGAATGACTTTATAAAGATTAAGTAATCTATCTATGTCTCTTTTGATATTATTTGCACACACACATATATAAATATATATGTAAACGCATGCATACATACCAACATACATTCATACATACGTACACACGTAAGCACAATTAGACAGAAGAAACATTATAGTTGTATATAGCACACATTGTATGTTGTTAGTACTGTTAAAGATATGTTTTATTCTGTTAGTTCTGTTGTTTCAAACCTTTCTGCTTGCAAGATAGATTGTATATGCTTTTTTATTGATTTACGTTTTTATCCACAAGTTTGATCCACAAGTTCGATGAACTCTGTTTTTTCCTTAATTAATGTAATCATGAAGATGTATGTCAAGATGTGTATGATCATAATTGTGTGAGTGAGTGAGTGAGCGAGCGAGTGAGTGAGTGAGTGAGATGATTAGGAGATTCTGACAATCATGATGATGGTGGAGTTAATTGGTAGAATGATAATGGTGCTAATTATGTCATTGCAAGGATGATGTTCCAGATGATTTAGTTTGTAGTATCATTAGTGAGTGGTTAGGTGAGTATGAAAATGTAATGGATAATGATGAGGATGATGTTTGCTATGGTGATAAAATATTATTATGGTGGTGATTTATAATGGCTGAGGTTGTTAAACATATGACGATGTTGTGATGAATCATCACTCATTTATTTATTTATTTGTTTGTTTTTCAAGTTTCTTCTATTATGCCTTAATCATAATGTATATAATAATAATCTTCAAGTGCAAGGTGTGTGTGCGCGTGTGTATGTGCATGTGTGTATGTGATGCCTAGTTGAGTTTGTTTGAGAACCCATGGCAATCATTCTTATCATTTATATCAGCATTTTAAAATTTAAAACATTATCTATTTGAGGTAGGTTTCTGTTTCAAATTTAACTCTTTTTTTGGGTTATTACCTTCTTCTCATTCATTCATTCTTTCTATTTATTATTTTTTTCTTTATTGTTATTATTAGTATTCTTAGCATTTATGGCTTATTTATTAATTTATTTGTTTATGTCAATCATAGATTATGCCCATATATGTATTGCAAATGATTGTGTTTGTTTATGTGTATTAGATTATATGTGTGTGTGTGTGTGTGTGTGTGTGTGTGTGTGTGTGTGTGTGTGTGTGTGTGTGTGTGTGTGTGTGTGTGTGTGTGTGTGTGTGTGATTGGTTGTGATTAATGACGATTATGCTGATGTTAATGATGGTGATGATGATGGTTATCATCATAGTTTGTAGTCTTTATAATGATGATTCTCCAGTAGTCAAGTATGTATTTGTTTATTAACTCTGTTTTACTAATTAGTTTATTGGCTTTGTAGGATGGTCATTTTAATTAATCATTAATAACTCTTTTATACAATTAGGCAGGTAAACCAGTAATAATACTTATTTAATTGCTATCACAGTTTTTACTATTATTATTATTATTTTTTAACTTCCAATAATTTTGATTACGATTTAAATGACCAATTGTCTAACTGATTGATGGTTTGATTGATGGTTTGATTGATTGTTTGTTTAATAGTAATGACAATCATTCAAGTGTTTGACAAGTCACTTTATTGACATGTCTTAGACATTCTTCTTATTATTGTTGTTGTTGTTATGTTATCCTGAATAGGTGCTTGCTGGGTCATCACAATTATCTACATTAAGTTTTGTCTAATTGGATGTTGATCGTCTGTCTTAGCTATGGTTTATGTATATATGTGTATGTGTGTTTAATAAATGTGTTTTTATAAAACGCGCGCGTGTTTGTGTGTGTGTGGATGTGTGTGTGTGGATGTGTGTGTTTGAATGTGAGTGTATTCAATGAAAGTTTTATTTCATGCTTAATAAATTTGTGGAGTATTTATGCATGCTTTCATTTGATCTATTGGTGAACGCGCACACAGACACACACACACACAAACTGTCATTAATCATAAATTACATTAGAACATTTCTTAATGTTATTTTATGATTTTCATCATGTATATCTATATATTATATATATTACATATATATATTATATTGTATGCTATTTGATATTACTAATTTATTATTTTTCAATAGTTTTAATTAATTTTCATTGCCTAATAGCCAAAAAAATAACATTCCTAATGGTTTTGCCTAATAGCTTACTCAATGAATCACTCATTCAGGAGAATCTGGAACCTCTCCTGCAAGTCTTGGTGCAGATGCTGGCGGCCAACGACGCAAACATCGTGACCTGTGTGGCGGGCATCCTGTCCAACTTAACTTGCAACAACCAGACGAACAAGATGGTCGTCTGCCGGGCAGGGGGTATCGAGACGCTCATCAGGACCCTCGTGCAGGCTGGGGATAGAGAGGACATAACTGAACCCACGGTTGGTGTTCTTTCTTGGTTTACGATAATTGATTGTCAAGTGTTTTGTGATTTTTTTTTTGTTTTTTTTTTGGAACTTGGAGTTAGTGTTTTAATTTTTCTATCTTTTATGGAAAGTTTTGCGTTTACATTTCTTTCCATTAGCAGAAGTTTACTTTTAAATAGTTTGCTCTTTTCATCTTTTATTGTGTTAATTACATCAAAGGGGGTCTTAAAATCAGTTCTATTTCAACCTGCAAGTAGCTGCTTGTTTGTCTACTTTCTTTGATTAAAATTAATCTGTCTTTGATTTAAAACCTTCCACTGCTGAATTTATAACTGAAGTCAGATGTTTATGTAGCATGTATACAAATATAGACACGTAATATGAGTGAATGTTGGTGAATACACGGACATGTTATTTTCACCACAAACCACCCAATAGATATGTGCCCTCCGTCACTTGACAAGTCGACACCCAGAGGCTGAGATGGCCCAGAACTCTGTGCGCTTGTTCAACGGTCTGCCACTTCTTATCAAACTCCTTCAGCCGCCGAGCCGCTGGCCTCTCATGAAGGCCATTATGGGGCTCATTAGAAATCTCGCCCTGGCACCGGCCAATCAGACCCCTCTCAGAGAACACGGGGCCATTCCGAAAATTGCGCAGATTCTGGCCAGGGCTCATCAGGATATACAAAGGGTGTGTTGAATTAAAAATTTTTAATTTATTTTGATTCACTGCAATTGTACTCTGTTGTGCCCTCGTATATACATCTTCTGATGAACAACTAAATGAACAATATCGGTTGAAATGAACTAACAGGCCGGAGGAATGGGAGTGCAGGGAAGCAACAGTAGTAGCAGCAGCAGCAGCAGTGCTGTCAGCCACCCACCAGTGTACGTGGATGGTGTGAAGATGGAGGAGGTGCTGGAGGGGGCCATTGGGACGCTACATATCATGTCCAGGGAGGTCAACAACAGGACTGTCATTCGATCGATCGAAAACATCATGCCCATCCTCACACAGGTAGTCGTCATAGTGGTCTCTTTTTACTTTAAGATGAAATTTTGTTTTCTTTAGGAACTGTTTTGTATTGTCAAGGTTATAAATTTATTCGTTTAAAAGTGTCATTTCATTTCTTGTAAAGATTAATAACAATGAATATAACATAACCACCTTAAACCAATCTCCAACATCAACCATTTAACAAACAGCTTCTCTACTACCCAAATGAGAACATTCAACGTATGGCTCATGGCGTGCTCTGCGAACTGAATGTCCAGCCGCAACCGCCGCCGCTACAACAGCAGCAGCCACACATCCACGTCCAACAACCACAACAGCCACACATGCATCTCCAACAACAGCAGCAGCATACAATCGTTCCACAGCAGCAGCAACAACAACAACAACATATTCATTCACATCATCAATTACAGCAGCATCAACACAGGATGCATAGCATCAATAGCAGCAATAATAGCATTAATAGTAACGGTAACAGCAGCAATGGAAGTAATAATACTAATTGGAGTAGTAATGTTAGTAAAATGTGTTGTGGTGAATTTTTCAATATAATAATGATAATTATTATATTGAACAATCATTTTTCACGTTGTTTTGTTGGTTTCTGTCTTTTGTATTGTTCTTTATAATATTGTTATTGTTTTAATATTATTATTGTAATTTAATATTATTATTTTACTATTATCATTATTATTATTATTATTAATATTATTATTATTATTATTATGATAAAATGCAATTTATATATTCCCACAATTATTTCCAATCACTCACACCTGATGACGTATCTACTTATCTGCAGTGGTCTGGCAATGGAAACAATGGCAACAATCCAATGACGATGATGATGAATCCATCTACTCCTGGTAAGATCAACAACAGCAATAACATCATCAACGGCAGCAGCAGTAGTAGTAGTGGTGGTAACGCTTTCGAGTCGCAGCAGCTGCAGCTACAGCAGCAGCATCAACAACAGCAGCAGCATCATAGGATGCTGGATATGAACACCTTCAACTATCTACTAAATTAATTAATTAATTAATCGACCGATCGATTGATTGATTGATTGTTTGATTGATTAATAGGATTGGTTGATTAGTTGAAATGATTGATTGATTGTTTAATTGATTGTTTAATTAGTTTAAATGGCTTATTGAAAGATTGAAATTAATTGCTATCTTAACGATTTTTTTTCTCAAATTTTTAACGACTCGCACAATAATGCTTTGGTTTATGTAATAATAATTAGGACATAATAATAACGATAATTATTATATATACTAATTATCGTTAATATTATTATTACTGATGTTATCAGAAAGAGTATACTAAATTAATCAAAATAGACCACACACTGTATCAGTCTGTAGCAGTAAATTTTACTTAATACTTATGAATTATGCTTCTATGCCTACGTGTGTGTGTGTGTGTGTGTCAGTCAGTCTATTTTATACTATAATGTGTTTTATTTATTAGCAATTAAATCAAAAAAACTTTTAATTAATATAGTCGATATTATACTTATTTTGTGTGTGTGTGTGTGTGTGTGTGTGTGTGTGTGTGTGTACTAAAATATTCTCATACTTTGTGCTTGTTTATTTATATTTTTTATAATTGATGATGATGTTTTTTTACTTTATTGTTTTATCTCTAGTGAATATTTTAGTTTGGGTGAGTGTGTGCGTGTGCTTCTTACATGTATGTGTATGCAAGTTGTTATTTTAAGACAGTGTTTACAGCTCCATGTCTTTTTATTCTTCTATTACGAATACTAGTGTGTGTGTGTGTGTGTGTGTGTGTGTGTGTGTGTGTGTGTGTGTGTGTGTGTGTGTGTGTGTGTGTGTAGATCAGCAGCAAGCAGGTAAAGTTCAGTCAGTCATCCAGTAACATTAAAACAGTTGAACAATTTATCTGTGAATTATGTCCACTCTCATTAATATTTTTATTACCGTTACTTAATTAACGTCTACTTTATTCGGTTACGTAAGTTAAATTATTGACAACATATATTATCTCAAATTTATTTTCTTTTTTAAAAATCTTTTGCTCGTTCGTTCGTTCATCCAGTTTTTAACTCGTTCGTTTATTATGTTTTTAACAAATTTTTTCCATTTTTCTTCTATTAAAGCTGCTCTCCCATGTTCATGTTAATGATTCTTTTTTTTTTTAAATTTTCTTCCAGCTGTCAAACCATAGAACCAAATCAAACCTATTTTTAATTCTATGTTTGGATCTACATCCAGTTCGTCGCTCATTATCATTATTATTATTTAATTGTTTTTATTATTACTATTTAATTATTTTTACTCGCCTCTACTATTTTACAAAAGATGTTTGTCTTTACTGAATAAAACAAGTTTATGGTATCGTATATTTCGTTGTACCTTGTGTATTATGTCTTCAACCTCTGACTATATTTGGGCTATAAAATACCTTATATACATATATGTATGTATATATATATATGTATTTGTATTTTGAGTAATAATATTTTTCTATTTCGCATGTATATTCGTTTGGTCGAAAAATTATTTTCTTATATAGCAAAACTAACATTGGCGCGCAACAGATAACGTCACCATATATATATATATATATATATATATATATATATATATATATATATACGTATAGTGTTGCATTATGTAGAAATGGTATTTTTACTTTGTATTTCTCGTTCTTCTTATCTATATATAATATTGTTGGATTTTTTTTGGTACTCAGATTATGTTTTATAAATATATTATGTGTATGTTATGTTGGATTAATTACATTATCATGAAAAGTTCGTCTCGTCTCGGTATTGTAGTAAAATGATAAAGCGTAAAGAGGTGTTGTTTGATGTGTAATTATATAGAAAATATAATTAATTAAGAACTGGTTTAGGATTAAGTTGATTAATTATTTAATCAATCAATTGATTAATTAATTGAGTTAGTTAATTATCAGTATGGTTGATGCCTGTGGTAAAAGTTTATTTTGCAACAATGCACTACGGAACAAATGGTTAAAAAGGGGCTAGAAATGAAAATACCAAATAAAGTTGTTTCATTCCCCAGGGCATGTTTTAAGCTATAACCATGGAGATATATATATCCATGTTTATATCTTCAGATACCCTGGCCGGTATTTCTAACTCGAGTTTAACGTTATAGTTGCTCTTTAATGGAATTTGAAATATATTCTTAAAAAAAATTAGCCGCTGAGATGTTTGAAATGTTGGCAAATGAAGTTGACAGATCGTTTCTAAGATGTAGAGATCTCTTCATGTTTTATGTTTTTTTCTCAAGATTTAATACTATTCTATTTAAATACATTGTGTTTTATTACATTTATACTGGTTTATTGGAATTTTCAATAGAATAATACCATAATTTTAACATTTAATGAGTTGAAACAAAGTGACAAAAATCGACAAAAAATAATTTTTTTTTCTCTAAAAATTTTTTTTCACTAATGCAAAGTTATGCTAATCACATTTCCTCTATTTTTCTCTAATTTATCATCCCAAAATAAAATTATTTCGATAAAATAATCATCTCCACCCATCATTTTAGATACTATGCCTTGAAAGCATGCATCGAGATATCTACACTTACACATGTTTGACATTGACATTGAGGTATTTTCGACCTGTACATACATTGTATACTTGGATACATAGTTTGTATACATACACATACATACTTTGTATACGTACGTACATACATACATACATACATACATACATACATACATACATACATTCACACACACATTGTATGCATGTATACATACATATTTATAAATTGTATATGCACTTTTCTACAATATTTGTATATATACAAACATGTATACATTGTATATATACAGATGTATACACGTATACAAATGCATACAAAGTGTATGAAAACATTTACATACATGACATGGTTGTTATAGTTATATAACTTATTAAAGGTTATGTTATTGCAGTCCACATGTGTTTCTCTTGCCATCCAAATCTTTTGAGGGCACCGGTCGTGTTTTCGCTTTCAATTTTCACAATTAAACACGCTTTTCTAAATTAAAATTTAATTAAATTTATTAATAGATAAATTTATTGTAATTAAGGCTTCATTTTTGTATTATTTGTTACAAAAATCGCTCATTTGTCATTTAATTATCTCATTTTGCTAGTCAGATTTGAAACTCTCACATACATTTCACAGCAAGGAGAAAGTAAGGTCTTTTTTTGTTCATTTATTTTATTTACTTCTTGCTTGTGATCCAAAGTCAACCATATGATATTATCAACATAATAAGTTATTTTCAACGCATTTTCTAGAGAAATCCAGATTGTTCTATTGGAGGAATTGTGTTTCTTATCCAGAACAATCACAAATTACAACTCAAATAAACTGTCTGCTGAAATACAGAGGTGATGAACTCAAATACCTAAACCAAAAAGAACTGGCTTCCATAAGTATCAAGATATCTCTCATAACTGATACTAACTTACAGAAAAAAGTTGGTTATTTTTTTCCCAATAACTTTTTTGTTTAATAAATTAATTAAACTCACTTATTCCATTGATTAATTGTTAAAAATAAAAAATGTTATTATATAATACTATAATAGCGATTAAATGATTAAATGTTAAGATTAATATAGTTAAGGAAGGCATTTGTTAAATTTTAAATAAAATGTATTTCAAACCTATTTATTGCTGTTAGGTCTTATGTTGGTTTTTGCTCTGCTATTGTTATTGTATTTTGTTTCATTTTTCTCTGTGTTTTAGTTCATAATGTTTAATTAAAGTTTAAACATTTAAACTTTGAAATCTGCCTAGTTGGAATTATTAATAAATTAAAGAATTTAATTTACATTTTTCTATAATTTTTTTTTCAGAGATTTTCTTGATCCAGATTATCATACTGTTGCAATCTCGTCCAGATTATCAACATGTGCTCTAATTAATTTGTTTTCCAATCTCCACTATACTCCCTCCAATCTAAATCTTTTCTTAATCCTTTCTCTCTCTCTCCTCTCTCTCCTCTCTCTCTCCTCTCTCTCTCCTCTCTCTCTCCTCTCTCTCTCTCTCCTCTCTCTCCTCTCTCTCTCTCCTCTCTCTCTCTCCTCTCTCTCTCTCTTCTCTACATTATTCAAACGTTGTTTTTGAGACAAGCATAAATTTTGCTAGGATACATATCAGTCAATCAATCAATCAACCAACCAATCAATCAATCAAACCTGGCTCATTCCTACTTCTATTTTTATCTCAATCAGTTTTATATCTCCAACTAATGAATTGTGCTTACATATTTTATACTTAGTGGCATAGAAGTGAATTTCTTTTGGGATAATTATAGTCTAGTTCAGTATTTCTCTTACTACATATACTACTACTGTTAATAATTATAATCTGATAACTATATATGGTATTTTCATAGTCTGCAAACAAATGTCAGGTCATTATTGTAATAGAATTATAACTGCAAAGGCTGTTAGCAGGTGTGGTTAACTTTAGTATCCTATTAAATAATTGATATCTGTATCTATCTACTGTATCTATATTACGAATTATAGTTACCTGTATCTACGACTGCCTTTATTACTACTACTGCTGCTACTACTACTGTTGTCGTTACTACTGCTACTACAACGGCTTCCACTGTTGCTATTATTAATTTATGCTGTTGTGAATTGTATTATTCTAAAGAACGGAAAAGCGATTCATTGTAGAGAAAAAGACCAATTCACTAAGTGAATTTCAACAACGAACTTTTTTTAGCATTCAACGTTCTAATTGTGAATCTTTTTTACTTTATAAATCATTTTGCTAGCGTCAGTTTCGTCATCTTCCTAATCTTCATAATGCCCTTGATCGTCGTCGCTTTCTGATTAGTGTATTCATCGCATCATCATCCCCGGTCGTCATCATCATCATTATTTTTTCCACCATTGTCATCACCATCAACATTTGTTTCCTCCAACTCATCCTTACCACCATAATTTTATTCATTTTTACAATCATCATCTTATTCCTTCTATCCATCCTTTTCTTCGCCATCTTCACCGTCCCCTACAAACTCTTCATCATGCTACTGAATGCCAAGTACTTCAGATCTGGGGGCGGCAGGACGTTCAAGTCATTCCCGTCCAACAGACTGAGTAAGTTTTGCTTAATTAATTAATTAATCAATTAGATGGTTAAACGGATGGATGAATTAATTAATAAATTAATTGACAATTGATTTATTATATTTGTTGATTTTTTCTAAACATTTTTTAATTTGTTTAGTTATCTTTGCAGTCAGTAGTTACTGATAGGCTGTTGTCTATCGATGTTTTGACATTGTGGATTTGTTTTTCGCGAATCATTATTTTGTTCTTTCATTCGTTTGTTCATTCACTCATTCATTCATCCTCCGAAACGCCTTTTCATCTATCCATCCATTTATCCATCTATTTATCCATCCAACCATTTTTTGCCTGGTGACCTTTGTACATCCAATAAATTATGTCACGTGGTCTTGTGCAAACACACACACGCACACACATATATATATATATATACATATATATATGTATATATATGTGTGTGTGTATGTGTGTGTGTGTACCAGTGCGTACATACATATTTAAGTACGTATTCTGAATAAAATACCGATATTTATTTACATACGTTCATACATGTACACCATAATACACGTATGCATTACATACAAACAAGCAAGCACTCATAGGTGAATGGGTGAACAAAAATGCATACACATTTGCATGGATACATACGTACGCATGCATGCAAACATGCATGCAAACATACTAGGTACACACTAATCAATGCATATTGCATATTCTGGATCAAACAACCTCTAACAAAGGTTTAACTAGATATTATATATGCACACACGCACATACACGTTGTGTGTGGGTAGGTATGTATGTATGTATGTATGTACGTGTATATATGTGTGTATGCATGCACGTGTATGTATGCACGTGTATGTATGTATGTATGTTTGTGTGTGTATGCTAGGGTGGAACCAGACATTTTTGAGGGGGGGGGAGGTGTTTAATTCATAGAAGCCCTCTGTGTACAAACTATTCTTGAATTGCTTTTTAATTAATTTTTTTTGTTTTATCCAATTTTGTCTGACTTTACCTACTGTTTGGAAGCCAATGTGTGTATGTTTGTGTGCGTGCGTGTGTGTTTGTGTGTATGTCTATTCATTTTTCCATTTGTATTTGCAGAATACAGTGGCTAATGAAAATATTTAGCCTATATAAGGATGTCTGTATAAGATTTTTTACGAGACTTGAGTGGAAACGAATTCGTTTTTATTCTGTCATGAGACCTTTGTATTTATTTCGTTCGTTTGTATTGTTTGTTTGTATGTATGTGTGTGTGTGTTTGTATGTGTGTTTGTATGTGTGTGTGTGTTTATTGTGTGTGTGTTTATGTGTGTGTGTATGTATGTTTATATTTATGTGTTTTCATGCTCTACCCATCCAGATGATAATGTTCCGAAACCACTATTGAAGAATACTGGATCAAGAAATAACGCTATCTACAGTACTACTGCTGCTGTTGCAGCTGCTACTACTGCTGCAGCTACTACTACTACTTCTACTACTACTACTACTACTAACACTAATAATAATAATAATAACAACAACTATGAAAATACCAAAAACAGCGTCAATAATAACATCGTAACTGATACTGCCGATTCAGACGACAACGTCGCCACCACTGCTGCTACAAATAATAATAATAATAATAACAATAATAATAATTGTAATTTCTACGATTTCGTTTGTAACGATGGTAATGATTTATACACGAACGACGACGATAATGATGGTCATGATGATGATGATGGTCATGTTGATGATGATGATGATGATGATGACGATCGCGATGGCGTTGATAATGATTGCGGTGATATTTTCGGCGGGAACTCTGATTTCAAAAGATGGCTCCTGAATAGTGGTCTCAGCGTCGATGATGATAGTAGTAATAATAATAACAATAATAATAATAATAAGATGAAAGGCAGTCAAAATATACGAAAAAATACTACAGTGATGGCCCAAAGTCTGGTAGATGTTCCAAAAAACATGACTTTTGGCCTAAATAACAACAACAACATCAACATCATCAACAATAATAACAACAATAATAATAACAACAATAACGACATTATGAACAACAACAACTGCTACAACGATAGAAACAATAGTAGTCATGTTAATGACGACAGGCTGCTACCGCACTCAGCTGCAGCTTCAGCCACGGCCACAGCCACAACATCAGCAGCCACGCTAAAATTATATTGTTGCGGTGGCTGTTGTCGCAACGGCGATAGCGTCCTTCACAGTTGCAACTCTTCCATCTGCTCTGAAGAAAATATCTCAAACGTCAGTCTAGCCGGCTCCGAGACAAGAAATCTCGACGATGAGGACGCTGACGATGACGAAGATGAGTATGATGATGATGATGGTGGTGGTGGTGATGATTGCAGAAAGGATGGGGATGGTGAATGGATGAAAGCAGGTGATGATGGAAAGAAGAAAAAGAAAAAAAGGAAGATGATGAAAGTGATGATGAGGAAGGAGGCTCTCTTTACGTCTGCAAGTTCGAGCGGCTGCCACAGCATCACAGGCAACAGTTCCTGCGTCGTATCTGACTCTGAAAGTCTCAACCTGACCCAGAAAACAAACCCTGACCTATTTAGCATCCAGAATGAGGTCGCTGACCCGATAAACTGCGATCTTATTGGCGGACCGATAAGCAACGTTATTCATCAGTATCACCACCGTCATCATCATCGTCGTCGTCATTGTGATGAAAGTTTTAACGGAGTAGATGATAACGATGATGTGAAAATTGACGATGACGACGGCGATAATGTAGTAGCTACCACTGCCACTACTACCACTACTACTACTACTACTACTACTACTATTGCTGCTGCTAACAATTCAAATGCGGCTATAATTAGTAACGTTACTACTAAAAATAGCAACAACAAAATCGTGGCTCGCGAAAATATGCTCGATAGCAATGTAGGCGGTTGCGAACTCGCCGATGTCGCCGATGACGTCACAAGAAAGTTTGATGACGTCATTAGGCTCGGTGATTGTCTGGATGAAATTTCGAATAAATTCTCTGAAGATGGTGATGGAGGGGATGATTTCAAAGTTGTCCTGAGTAAGAGGAGGTCAAAAATGGTCGTCAAACAACATCAGCAGTGGCTGCAACAGCAGCCTCAGCAGCTGCAACAGCAGCCTCAGCAGCATCGATACTATCACAAACAACAATACAAGCGACAACATCATAAACAGCAGCAACAACAACAGCAACAGGGCAATAAAAGTTTCACTTCTGAGAACGTTAATAATAATTCTAATGAGTCTAAAGCCACAACTGCAACTGCAACATCAAAAATAACATCAGCAGCAACTACAACGACTTCAGCAGCAACTACAACAACTTCAGCAGCAACTACAACAACTTCAGCAGCAACTACAACATCTTCAGCAATAGCAGCAGCCAGAGATACAGCAGCAACAGCAACAGCGTCATCATCAACAGCGTCAATAAGAAGCTCAGCAACACTAACCAGATCATCAGCGAACGGCTTCAGCAACAAAGATGAAAATCTTGCAACTTCCACCAAATTTCTTCCTTCGTCATCATCTTCTTTGTCATCTTTCCTTTCGTCAGCATCATCATCTCCATCAATCTCACCATCTCCAACATCATCATCATCATCATCATCGACGACATCATCATTATCATCGTCGTCGTCGCGGCCACAACAACAACAACAAAGTTCTAAGACATCAACTACGTTCGCAACACTTTTTATGAAATCAACAACACTATCATCATCATCATTTCCACCACTTATTTCATCACCTCCACCAACAACATCATCATCATCATTAATGAACGACGGATGGAATGAAGTGAAAGGAAAGAGATGTAAAAATTATAAGCCAGTCGATGATTGCAATGCTTCAAACAACAACAACAGTGATGATGCCGATGATGATTGCAATGCCAAACAACAACAACAACAACAACAAAGAACTCAAAGACTACAACAACAAAGAACTAAACAACAACAACAATATCAAAAACATCAACAAAAATTTTCAACAGATACGCGGAAGTTATTGCCTGCAATAGCCTCATCAACAAAAACCCAACATATCAGTGACATCTCGAAGACAAATGATTTGAAAAATGACAAAAGCAGCAACACCAACAACAACATCAATAAAAGTTGTAAAAACAACGAAGATGATGGTGATAAACTTACTCCTCCACAAAAACAACATCAGCAACAACAACAACAACAACTGCAGCAACATCAACTAATATCTTTTGGTTCAGGCTGCAAGGATTTGGATACTTTCCACAGCAGCAGCAACAACAACAAAAACATTAACAAGAATAGCAACAACAACAACAACATCAACAAAAACCTCAGTTTCACTGCAAAACAACAACATCAACAACCCAAATCTCAACAACAGAAATCGGTTGTTGTTGAAAGTTGTCTGAAAGAGATTACACAGACTGCAACAACAACTACAACAACAATAACATCAACAACAACATCAATTACATCAACATCAAAATCAGCAACAAAGGTAGATAGAAAGACCGAATATGGAAAATTTAATTTTAAACAAGCTCAACTTTTCCTTATGAGATGTTAGCTTGAATGAATGAATGAATGAATGAATGAATGAATGAATGAATGAATGAATGCATGAATGCATGGATAAATGGATGATTAAATGAATGAGTGAGCAAATGAATGATTGAAGCAGTTTGATTGACTGATTGATTGACGTATTTTGATAAATCTTCATAATTTCCTCATAAACTTCATCTCAATTTAAACAGCCTTTAATGAAGGAATGGAGAGGATCAACAGCAGCGGCGACAGTAGCCGCAAGAGCAGCGGCGACAACAGCAACAACGACAACAACTTCAACGGCAACATATCAGTAAAGAAATTAAATTTTTCCATCTATCCATCTGTCTATCTATAAATCATGAATATATAAATCATGTTTCCTGGTTTTTTAATAAATTAATATTATATATATATATATATATATATATATATATATATATATATATTTGGATTGTTTAATTAATTAGTTAATTGAATGAATGAATGAATGAATGAATTAGTGAATTAATTAATGATATATATATATATATATATATATATATATATATATATATATATATATATATATTTGGATTGTTTAATTAATTAGTTAATTGAATGAATGAATGAATTAGTGAATTAATTAATGAATTAATTTGTTACAATTTTGTCATTAGCATATCACAATTTTATTCTGTTTGAATTTTTCGTAATAGCAATTGTTATAATTGTAATTAGAATAATAATTAATATTATTATTATTGTTAAATAATAAGAATTAATATTTTTATTATTGTTATTGTTTTGTTGTTTCGTTCTGGTTTGTTATTATTGGATAGAAGAAATGTAATTTTAAATTAAAAGAATTTATTTAATTTATTCATTTTGTTGAAGTGCGTGTGTGTGTGTGTGTGTGTGTGTGGTGTGTATGTTTATGTATATGCGCGTGTGTGTTTGTGTATATGCGCGTGTGTGTTTGTGTGTGTGTGTGTGTGTATGTGTGTGTTTATGTATATGTGTGTTTATGTATATGCGTGTGTGTATGTTTAAGCGTGTGTTTGTGTATGTTTATGTTTAATATATATTATAAACATCAAGTTTGTATATGTGAGAGTGTTTATTTACTCTATATTATATGGCATAATTTTTGTACATAAAAGTTATTAGTAATTAGTAATCAATTAATTAGTTAATTATTCAGTTAATCAATCAATTGGTTTGTATATTCATTTGTTTATTTAGTTGCTAATTGTTTTATTTTCTTGTTTATATAATAACTTTCGTTATACCTTTATGGTGATGATGATGATGGTGACGAAGACGACGACGACGATGATGGTCATTGTTGATATTATCTTATAAACAATCTTCACGTCTGATTGTTTGTCGGCTTGAACTAAACTAAATTATTTCTGTTGCTACTCTCTCGCTCTCTCTTTTTTCTTTCTTTCTTTCCCTCTCTCTCTCTCTCTCTCTCTATTTTTTCTTTCTTTCTTTCTCTCTTCATTTTATCATTTTTCTTCTTAGGGACCACATCTTTAGACTTGTATTGTTGGATTGCATTATAAATGTTTGTATGTGAACTTGCTTCGTGTACATTTTGTATAGTGTTTGTATACAATTGTATACATGTTTTGTATACAATTGTATACATGTTTTGTATACAATTGTATACATGTTTTGTATACAATTGTATACATGTTTTGTATATTATGTGGTGTGGTTTGTATGAATTTGTTTGGTATATATACAAACTTACATTTTTGAAGATTTTATTCGAATTGGATAACTTGATTTTCATGTGTGATTTATTCCTTCATCTATTATTATTTATTTTCGTTCTTTTTTGCCACACATTTATTCATTCATTCATTCGATCAGTCATTCATTCATTTGATGATTCATTCATTCATTTATTGATTCATTCATTTTATTTATTCGTTCTTTCGTTTGCTCATGCATCTAATCAAATTTTCATCTTTCGTTGTATTTATTCATTCATTCATTCATTTATTCACTTACTCCATCAATCGTTCATGAATGAATGAATTAATTAATTCATTCATTCATTCATTCATGAACTAATTAATTCATTCATTCATTCAATCAATCAGTTTGTACTTTCGCACATTCATCGTGTAAACTGTATGTAAATATTATTTAATGGTGATTTTTCTAGTTTTACTCTTACTTACACACACAAATAAACACACACACACACACACACACACACACACACACACACACACACACACACACACACACACACACACGTAAACACAGTCATACACACTCACACGCACATAAGTCGGTTGTGTAATTAATTAGTTAGATATTAACGTAATAATAATAATAATAATAATAGTAACATCGTTCGTAGCGTCATTACACTATAAAGTAATATGTTTGTTAAAAAATGGCCTACAAAATGTTTACAATACGACACACTTTTCAGCTTCTCGTTTTAGTTTACAGGGCTGTGTGTGTGTGTCTGTCTGTGTGTGTGTATCCACCAGTAGTTATTTGGACACCGATATTTTCAGCTTGATTACTACACTTTGTTTTATCAGCCCTATTTTGGTTCCTATTATTATTCAATGTGTTGATTAGTACTAAACTTACTTATTGCCGTTGTCAATAGTTTATTTTTAGCACGCACACACACACACACACACGCATACACAATCATATATATATATATATAATATAAGTATGTATGCGTTGGTTTAGTTTTGTTTGTTTAATGAGATTCAACTCAAGATCCTGAATTTTCAATAGAGTTTTAATTTGTATTGAATAGTGTTGGCGCAAAAAATTAAAAACCCAACAGCACAAAAAGAATAATAATAATCATCACATGGGCTTGTCTATGAGTAAGAAGGAGGTGCACTTGTGGAAATGCCATAGATGTCTCGGTATCTCTAATCCTAAACGGATGACCAACTAGCTATCAGGTCTCTCTCTAGATAGTTGGCGAACATTTCTACGTATGGCATATTGTATTTTCATCAACACACTGCAAATACACTGTAATATTTTATTCTTTTTCTCGTCAAAAAATTATGCAACAGGATTGGCAAATGATTTAATTTTGGTTTAATAACAATTTTAACAAATGCTCGGTTTGCGTTTTCTACACAGCTTATCTTCAACATTAGCAGTTTCTTCATTGATGTTTTTAATTAAAGTTTTTGACGGGCAATTAAAAAACCCGTCCAAAAATTATTTTCTCCCCTTCATGACTGAATGTGCAACACATATTTTCGATCATATTATCACTATCCGGAGCGTATCTGTCCGGAATTTTATTTCAATTTCTTTTGTGTAATTGATTTCAAAAACATCTACACTGCCTAACTTGAATTCTTTATAGCTCCAAAAATTTGCCAGCAAAATGAAACGATCCGTCACCATCGAGCAGTATTTCTTTACAACTAGCACATTTAGTGATACTAATTACATTTTCGTTTGGCAAATTGACTTCCAGCACTTATCTAGTAATTTTATCGACTGAAACGCTTATTGGTTGATCGATTTCATGAAAAATGTCATCAATGAAATTACCTACGTCTTGATTAACTGCTGCTGCATTGTCGATCGAAACCTTCAAAACATCCTCATTCAATTCAGGATTTTTGGATGGCTAGGCATGAAATGAAACATCATTATCTTCAGCCTTTGCGGGATTCCATTCATAACCACTTTTTTACATCCATACGTTTGAAAACCATATCTAGTTCAGAATTGCAACAAATACCCATTACTATAATAAAAATTGTTTAACAAAAAAAAAACAAAAAAAAATTAATAAATTTATTTAATCCGATAACAACTGATGTTGCGGCAACACAAGACAAGCGTGAATGGGGAACGTGTGTTACAACCACGTGGAGCAACTTAGCATGTAGGCAGCCAATGCCAGCCAACTAACTGATCGAATTATTGTCGAATAAAAATTTCGTTGAAGTATAAAAGATGGAAAAGAAAGGCGTTGAATTGAACAAAAATTGCAAAATGGAGAAAGACAATGCTGTCGATGAGCCAGCAAAAATGGTTTTAATTTCCAACGAAGGCAGTCGCTACGAAGTTGCTAAAGATTTATTACTACAGTTCAGTGATTATTTTCAAGCCTTGGCAAACAGTGGAATGAGAGATGCAAACTTCAAAGAACTTACGTTGGAGTGTCTTTCCGACGCATCTTAACTCAGATATAGATCTAATCATCTATGCAGATGACTGCACTATGTGCGCAAATTCAAATAACATACCTGATTTAATTCACAAAACTGAAACATTTCTCTCTAAAATTGTAAAGTCGTCTAAATTAAATAAACTTTCTGTCAACTTAAAAAAAAAACAAAATTCATGATTGTTCCAAATAAAAGAAATACACCTATGCATAACATAACTTTAAAATTGAACACCAAGGAAAATAGTGAACAGAGCATAACAAAAGTTGACGCATCGACAATAAATTTAACTTTAATGATCACATCGAACTAATTCTAACAAAAATTAATATAATTTTTGGCATAATGATAGGAATTAAAAATTTTTTAAATAATAATACTAAAAGACTACTTTACCAATCATTAATTTTTAGTCATTTTTACTATGGTAACCTAATATGAG